AGGAGGAGGAGGACGAGGAGCGGGCGCTGGAGGAGCAGCTGCTCAAGTACTCGCCCGACCCCGTGGTGGTGCGCGGCTCCGGCCATGTCACCGTGTAAGGGCCGCGCCGGGGCCGGGGAGGCCGCGGGAGCGCGGCGGGCCGGGCCGGGGCCTGTGGGAGCCTCGCGGGCCTCTCCGCGGCCTGGGCGGCCCCGCCGCGGCGCCGCCGCGAGCCGGGGCTGAGGCGGCAGCGCCGGGTGTCGGCGAGGAAGCGGTGAGGTGTCCGGGAGCCGCTGCGTGGGGCCGCCGGTGTTTGCACGGGTGGGTGTGTGTGTGCCCGCATAGCAGGTGTGTGTCTGCGTGGCCGGCCCCGGCTGCCCCTCGGCRCCGTTTCTGACCGAGTTGCTCTGTCCCAGTAGGAGCGTGGCAGCTCCTAGGGCTCGGAGGACCCCTTTGAAGCAAGGAGCGTGCGAGTCCAGTGGGTGCGACTAAAGTCGTGTTAAGATGCACGTTGCAGCAGCGTGCTGGGCGTGGGAGTTGCGCTGGGTTTCGGTTAGGGAGTGTTTTGCGTCCCCGAGGATGTGGCAGCAAGGGACAAGCGAGGTAATGCCGCCCTTCTCCAGAACAGAACCGTCTCCTGGGTGTTTTTCCTGCAGCCCATCCTGGTGGGGTCTCTGTGCTGACGTGGAGCAGTTGTCAGTTATGACCAACAGTTTGGGAGGGTAAAATGCCAGCCTGGGGACCCAGAGCAGTGTCGCAAACTTCCTTCCTGTGCCCAGGGCAGGACTCGGCCCGTGACATGTGCCTGGAGCTGAGGATAACTGAATATCCCCTTCTCCGAGAGCTGTGCCGGCTGTGGGATACTGCCCTGTTCGGGAATCCGGAGTTAAATATAGAGCAGGAGGGGAGCTCTTTTTTAACATAGTATTTGGTTGGACTAACTGCCAAGCAGGACAGTTTGTCCTCTGGTTAAAAACAGGGAATATGGCACAGTATGCTGCTGAGGGACACTGGAGGGCAGGAGGGATGCTGAATGGAAAGGAGGCTCGGAAAAGTATCAGGCGCGTGCAGCTGCACTCCCAAACATGTGATTGTGGTTGCTGGTTTGTTGGGCTCTGAAGCTGCTACCATCCAAGAGCTGTTTAACTTCTTTGCAAGTAAGCCGGTAGCCTCGCTCGGTTTCTGCTAAGCAGATCAAAGCCCTAATTAGAGACTCGTCTCTTGGCAATCGCCCGGTGTAAAGCACGGAGATGGAGGCAGAGGCAGGTGCCTCCTGCAGCCCCTAAAGGTAGGGTAATGCAAGGCAAGGTCAAGGCCCATTCGTGGGAGCAGGAGGAAGCTTGCATAGCTGCTCTGTGACTGGTAAGGAAGTCGTAGTTGCTTCATTAATTGGTCACTAATCTTCACTTGATCATTGTTATTGTAAGAGCTTCCTTAAAATATAGTTACATAGTTATTCAACTTTTGGACAAGGAAGGGAATACAAATGTGTTTTTCTACGATTATGTAATTGATCTTCATCTGCTCTTTTGTGCCAGCCACTTTTACCTTTGGAAAGCMTCTGAGTTTTTTTAATCATTGATCAAGTTGCTTATTCTTAAATTTAGTTCACTTTCAGAACATTCATTTGATGAATTTAAGGAACAGGCCAAGTCCAGTATTTAGAATTATTCCTTCCTTTTAGGTATAAAAACATGTGTGCATTTTCAGGGTTTTGAAAATATTGATGAAGTAAGACAAATATCAAATCCAATAACAATACTAGAGCTCTGCCTGACTCTGCAGTTTAAAGAGTTGCTGACTGCCACCACTGTGTGCACATTTAAACAAAAGTTTCTTCTTCATAGTCATATCCTTTCTGATCTTGCACGGAAGTCATAATGCTGACTTTGAAATGTGTCATTTCCACGACTACAGAAAAGCCTTTTACTGCTACTTGATTGCATTCAACAGCATGGAAAAGGTGTGATAGTCCTCACTAAGCTTCAGAGTTAAAAGCAAATGAGGGAATAAAGGTAAATACCAATCAAATAAAAGGTGTGAAGACTTCCTCTTTCCATGGTGAGGGGGCTATTTTTAGTGCTGAAAGTTAGACTCTCCAAGTCACTGTTCTAGGATTGTTTGGCATGTTCAAACTTACATTTTTTAAATTTTCAGGTAAGCAGTTTTCACCCCAGCAGATTCAAAGCTTGTTAAGCAGGAATAATAAACCAGGTGGCCTCTGGTGACTTGAGGCTGTCTCTCTTAATAGCAAGAGTCATAAAACTTCAGAAACTGTGAAACATTATTTACATTACTTAACTGGATTGGAAATTCAAACTATTTTGGACTTGCTTGTAAAAACATGTTTGTGGAAAGAGATGTACGTGGTTGGCTTGAAACTGCTAGTAGGATATTGCGGTAGGTTGTGTAGTTGCATTTCCACATTTCCAAAGGGTGTTTTCCTGTTTYTTGTTTGTTTGTTTCTTCCAGTGCGTGTTTTCTTTTTAACCAATTGATTTATTTYTCTCACGTAAAAGACTGCTAGGCAATGAGACTGGATTTATGAATCTTTTGCAGTAAACGCTCTTCTGTGCTGTTGTCAACTTAGTACATTGTGTGCAACATAATGAACATAATGTAAGTTTTAGGAAGAGAGGAAACTGCTCTAAATATAACTTCACCCAAGTAAAACCCTTTAATATTAAACTAATATCTGCTTATGTGTTTTGAGGCTTACTTTGTGTCAAGGACATGAGTGAAAACAGGACTAGGAGGTGGATGGAGAGTGCTAAGGAATGATGGACTACATCTTTGTTTTCTACAGGCTGGAAGATGCAGGGCAAAATTGAGAACAATGGAGACATGGTTTAGACCCATTAGATTGGATGAAGGAGAAGAGCCTTGTTTGTGTGTTGGTTTGATGTGTTAGGAAGATCAAAGCTGCAGGCTGAGAAGAGATTGCAGGTTGGCTGAGTCTACACTGTAATCTTCTACACATTAAAGGTTCTCTCATCGTTTCTTTTTTTTCACTGTATACAAGGGCAGAAATTCATATGAACCTTTCAAGCAGACAAGAAACRTGTTTTTAGGTTCAAAGAAGGTTAAGGAAAGTCCTTGTGCATGAGGTGAGCATGGGTCTGCTGAGCACGTGATGTGAAATGGGAAAGGCATCGGGCAGGTGGACAAGGGTGTGTGTTGTTGCAGGTGCACCAGAAATCCAAGGCTAGATGAGGACAGTTGTCTGAGGAAAGGCAATTCCAAAGTGGGGTTGGTGTCTTATGTTTGATTTTAAGACATTCTTTTTGCTGTTCTTTGCCAGAGCTCTTGTTTCTGGGCAGTGAAACTTTAGTAATGGTATGTGGAATTTTTAATCTTTTAATTTTCAGAATACATCCTGTGGTCAAGAGGGATAAGGTTGAGATCACATCATTTCCTTACCAAGGCTTTTAGTGTATGGAGTCGTCTTTGCTTTTTTTACTACCTGCTTTTTGATAGTGAAATGTAATGTGGAAAGTTTGGAATGAAGTTGGTAGCTGGGAGAGTTGCCTTTGCTGTTCCAGTTTAGCAGCTCTGTGGTGTATTAAACATTGCCACGTGCCTCTGCTATGAAGTTGCTGTCATTTGCCTATACCTTCAGCTTCCACGTTGAAAGTCTGTCTTAATGCCTTTGTAAAATTCTGCTAAAGCAAAGCAACCGTCTTAAAACAGGAGGGGAATATATTTTTGTCCCCTCTAAATCCAACACTTTCTTGTAACTGTTTTAAATTGATCTTGTAATAATTGTAGTGAATGCCTTCGGTTGTGGGAGGTGGTGATCAACAGTTAACATTCACCTTATCCACAGCTTTTCAGAATCTTTGTGCTTTGCTTGTGTTCCCTCTCAGCCTGTATCAGCTTGTTAGCCTTATAATGCCTCTGCTTCATCCCCTTAGTGTATCACTCTTTCTTCTCTGTTTTCTCTACCTCCACCAACTCCTCCACAGATGCCAGAACAGAATGTATGGGTATAGTAGTGGGTATAGTGTCATTGTTGCTAATCACCTTCCTGGCACGTTGTTGTCATTTCTGGTTGCTGCAGCATATTGTGCTGATATTTTAGGAGAATCCTCAGTGATGATCTCTCTCCTGAGCAGTAGAGCCAGTCTGAGATCATCGTCATGTGAACATGGTTAAATTAGCTTCCYTAATGTTCAGCATCTTTTATTTGTTACACTGAAGCTCGTTGGTGCTCGTGAAGCTCGTTTTGCCCACTCGGTTTTATGAGGTCCTTTCAGAGTCCCTCAGTAGTGGTACAGCATTTGGCAGCCAAGCTGATCACTTGGGCAAAGTTCTSCATTGGCAGGTCCTTCAGGCCAGCAGGAAGAAAATCATCTGAAGAACAGCTAGCTGTTCAATACACCTACTGTCCAAGGCAATTATTTCTTTGGTACATTCAGCTACCAAGCCTCAATTTAACTTTTCTGAACATGGTTGAGTTGTGCAATTGGTCTTGTTGCCAGAGTGTTCGTGAACAACTTGTGATTTGTGGTGTTTGTAGTATCTGGTAATACTACTCTGGTTTGTATTCAGAAGGTTATTAACCAAAAATGAGCCTTGTGGTGACTTGATATTACATTATTAGAGGTCAGTTGTAGAGTTTCATCGGTGGATTTGTAGGACTGCTAGTGTGTATTAGAAGCTGTTTCCCATAATGGGTGCCGGAAAACATTCAGATTTGCTTTGAGCTTTAGGAGAAACTGTTATCTTTTAAATTTTCTGAAATTCAAAGTAGGCTGTAATTCCAGATGATCTTGCACTCCTTCATACCTTTACACTCTTCATTATTCTGATTTTTTTTTCTTCTCAAGAAATGTGTGCACCAGGAAGGAGGAAGAAAAAAAAAAATCTGTGGCATTAACTTTACGCTTTCCCTATCGAGTACTTTTCTTCAGTTTTCACACTTGCCATTATTGTTTATAAGGATTTTGAAGAGTTTGGGGGAAGAGTCAACAGTTTCAACAGAACTTTAAAAAGAAACTGTGAGCAGGATGATTTTGAATCTGTTTACAATTATAGTTTTCCCCCTCATTTACATTTGATAGGATAATCTCAGGGACTACTTCTAGCAAATAATAATTCTGTTTGAAACTGATGACTTCTCATGTTAACTCTGACTATATTATGAGATGCTTTTAATTTGTATTTTGTATTTTTTGAGTGCGTGATTTTTTTTTCCTTATTTTTTTTTTTTGTATTTTTATTTTTTGCAGGTTTGGACTGAGCAACAAATTTGAAGCAGAATTTCCTTCATCTTTAACTGGAAAGGTGAGCATCTGTGAATAAGAAGTCAGAATTTTAGTAAGATTTTGTTATAAAAGCAAATGTTCTAGGTATAGTGCATTTTTCTTTAAGAGTAATTAATAAATCACAATGCTGTGGGACTACATTTTTTTCCCTTTTCCTCATAGGTTGCACCAGAAGAATTTAAAGCCAGCATCAGTAGAGTTAACAGTTGTCTTAAGAAAAACCTTCCAGTTAATGTACGATGGCTACTTTGTGGATGCCTTTGCTGCTGCTGCACTTTAGGTTGTAGTATGTGGCCAGTTATCTGCCTCAGTAAAAGAGTAAGTTGTTGTTTTTAATCAAAAATAATAAGAATGGTTCAGAGTTAGAAGTATATTGTTTTGTTCTCATATTGTACTTTCTCCACCTGTAAAGGCTGTACAGGAGTAATTACCAGCTTGGTTTCATACATTTTGCTGTTTTACTTTAAGCTGTTTATCTTGCTGTTTAAAGCTACAACAGACACCACTCAAACTTTGAGCTTATGACTTGATGCCTGGTAGTATAGCTGAGTCTGTCGGAGATGACCCTGTGCAACACTTGCACATCATAATATTGAAATAAATTTCAAAATGCCTTTTTATTATGGTCGTATTTGTAATGCCCTGTTTGGGAACATGAGAATTTGACAGTGATTGATTCACAGTCTGCTGTGACAAACTAGTGATTACACTGTGGCCTTAATAGTGCATAAGTTTTTGTTTAAGCAGGTGTTTTTTGAAGATGGTAACTGATTGATTTGTTGGGTTTTCCTTCAAACTTGTAAATGAGTAAGACTTTATAAACAAACAGTTGGAAAGTAGTGGTTTGTCTCTGTTTACAGAGTGCCAGGTGCATTGCTCACAGAGGAAGCTCCTTGCACRTGCATGTTTTTTTCATTCCTCTTTCCGTGGTGCCTGTATGTAGGCTACCCTCCCATTTCTTCTATTTTTATTAACATAAGTAGTCTCTTTTCCTCTTCCTATTGCATTTCTTTTCAAGAAGTCTCTGTGCTTCCATGTCCTCTCTTGTACTGGTGCTATTTTTCTCTCCACCTCTTGGCAAGACTGATGTATATTCTTTCTTGTGTCATACCTCTTAATACTACAAAATTTTGTACCATACAGTGGACACCATTATGTTTTTTTTTTTACTCAAGTTCTCATTTCACTTGGTTAGTAAATCAGGTGTTTTGAAGTTGGCAACGATCAAGTGTTGTTTGCAGTCTAAGTGTAGTTTAAAATCTTTGTGCACCTTTTGGTAATGATTTGCAGCTCTAAGCTTCTGCTCAAATGAGCGCGCACACACACACAGGTGGAATCGTTAAAACTAGAAATGAGGCAAGCTGCTTTTGTAGTCCTAAACTGGTATCATTAAGTGCTGCAAAGGCTATATRGATGCTTGAAACCCACATCTACTGAAAAAAATTATAGAATGAACACACAAATCATTTTTTTCTGTATGATCTAACTTTCTATGTTAGGAAAACATATTCAAAGTTTCCTCAGTTTTCCTCATTAAAAAAGACCAAACTGTTAAACATTTAACCTTCCCTCTTTTTTTTTTTTTTGAGTGATTACTTGAGAGTAGTTTTAATTGAATGTGAAATAAGATACRAAAGTCTAATGTCGGAGTCCATGAGAAAAACCATTGTAAGCTTCAGTGTGAAATACATCAAAAGGTTTTTTTTGGGCTAAGTTTTAGGTCTTTAAACTGTCATGACCTAATGGGTCTCTTGTAAGGTATATCTGTATCCTGAAACTGTGTTTACACTGGATTAAAACTGGTCGATTAGTCACAGGTAGGTCAGTGATTTGAGTTTGTTGAAAGGAAGGCTCCGTTTTCCTTTCCAGGCCTAGCTCTGTTACAGGCACAAGGCAAGCTCACTTTGCTGCTGTTCATCTTTAGCCTATGAAGAGCATGCTGCTAGTGCTTTATAACATGCCCTGTTTTCTCACATAGTAAACTGCTGAAGAAGGAAATGATAGGATGCTACATGGTAGTATAAAATTTTCTCTGTGGTAGCTCTTAACCTAATGCTACAAGTTGCTACTAATCAGCTTTTTAAATACATTGTTTAGCCCTTCATTGTGACAAAGGCGAGGGCTTGTAGCATCTAAGGTGAGAAACCAGACTTTGAAACTGAGGAAGGAAGTTCTGTGTGGGAACGCAGTGAAGCAGCAAGTGCTTCAGTTGTTCTTCTAAAAGGATTAATACAGGGAAAATGCTTGGATCTTCTGTTCAGAGTAAGCTAGAAAGTGGCTAGTGATTTAGTTGTTGCTGCAATATACTAACTGTGTGAGGATAGAATAKGTCTCCGAAAGAGAGCTAAGAGCAGGAACAAGGACAGCTTGATGCTGACGTTCCTGAGGTCGCCCTAGAAGTGCTGCCTAAGTTGTCAGTAAATTCCCTACTTTTCTCTCAGAGCTGATACCAGGAGATAATTTAGCAACCTTAGGTCTTTTCCTGGCCTTAAAATGGAATGACTTACAGGCTCAAGCTTGAAAGTCCTGCACTAGTGAAACTGAAGATAGGGTTCAGCTGCTTAACCACAGTGTCTGTGGCTGTTATGGAGGCTGAGTGACACATCCGCRGTCATCTGTTTGCCATGGCAGAAGAGCAGAGATCTGCTGTTGTTCCTGTCTTGTATCCTGGTCTCTGGCCTCTGACACTCTGTGGTGTTTCTAATGGCACTGAGKTTGGGTGGCCCAACTACTCCCTCTGATTAAAACATATTTTATTTAATCGGGAGAATTCRGGTATTGTGGCACCAACACTTAACGACTGGTAAGGTGTTACTTAGTACTGTGGCTAGTGAGAGATCTGCTTAGAGCAYGGGCATCCYGTCTTCCAAAATGTAGTGTCAGTCACACAGCTGAAGAGTATTATATAGAGAAGAATAAATTAACTTGCTCTTAAAGGCAAGCTGGAAGTGGAGAGAATGTGTGTCGAGGTTGAAACTTTTAGTCAGCCTGGAGAGTGTTTTGGCTTACTGCTGTGCCACTGGTTTACTGGAGAGAAGAGTCAAAAAAAAAAAAAAAAAAAAAAACCAAGCTGAGATGAGATATTCAGTGTGAAGTAATCATTCCTTGTATTTGAACTGTTGTACTGCTAGCCTTTCATTTTTGCCGTGTCTTGAAAATAGGTTCTGAGGATCAAATGATCTTCCTTGCTTTGACTTTTTCAGACCTCCTTTCATAGCCAAAAGAATTGCACAGAGTATCCAAGCGTATCCAAGAGGCAGTTCTTGGGAAGTGCGGATGACAGATGCCCACTTCATCCTTTCACCTTTTAGATGGATTTTGAAAAAACAGAATGGGAGGATGCCCATACGTAGAACTCAGATTTGTGTAGAACTTATCATAACTGTACCAGAAAAATATATTATCTTTGTCCCTGTTGACAAACCAGCTAGATTACATATATTGTTGACAGTCGTTCTGCAGAGTTGCATATACAGTGATCTGACAAGTGGGAGCATTCCTCAGGATAAGATTTTGTTAAATGGAACTACAGACTAAATTAAATAATATAATATAAAATATAATATAAAATAGCTTATAATATAAAATAATATTTTTTTCTAAGAATGACCAATTAAGAAATATGTATTTTAATGAGACCAAGTCAGTCTTACTACACTTGTAAATTGACATTGTACTTTACAGCTCTTTTTCAGGGAAGCATTTTTTCTGAGGTCTATGCAGACAAAATGGAAATTGCAGTTTCTGATTTTTTGGAAATTATAATTATTTTATTTTTTGTCTATATTCTGTTCATTTACTGCTTTCATAGTCTTTTTAAATCTAGTGTAGGAATGCTATGACAAATGAGAGTATATCATTTTTGAAATTACTTAAACTTCCATCGACTTTTGCATTAAATGAGAATATATGCTTATTTTCTGTGTAGTGAAAAATAAGTCATGAATTTTACTTTTCAAATAAGCAGGTGTTTAAAATTTATTAAATCTCAGACCTTTGTAAGTGCAACAGTTCATTATATCAGTTTGTCCACTTTCAGTGAGTAGAGGCTTTTCCTGCCCTGTATTTTTCTTTTCGGTGCTTTGTTCAGTGCTGATCTTGAAAGTCTTTGTGCAGGATTTCTTAGGATTGTTTTCTTTCTTATTTTGCACTGTAGTATTTGAAGAAAGGCTTGGTACTTTTTACCAGAAAAATAAATGTTTAATTTGATTCAATATCTCATTGCCTTTATTTTTTGATCTTGATTGCATTTTAGTGAATAAAAGCTGCAGGAAAATTACAGGAAGTATAATCTTTCATTTGCTGATCTGGATCATCGATGATCATCAGCAGTTTCACTCTTAGATTGTACTGTCCTTTCCAGGACAAATTCTAGATTGTATAAATGAACATTAAGTCTTTAAGGTATTGTTCCTTGAATAGAAAGAATGACAAAGTGAGTTATAATTCAGRAAGCACTACAGGATAAGGTCCCCATTTGAAACCACTTTTTCAAGCAATTGCCACTCATTTTCTGTATTAACTAAATGCTATACTTCCCAATTTTCTAAATGGGATAAATAATTTCAACAGAAACAGCAGCAATGAAAGCTATGATAGAATTACAGTACCTCTGACTGGCTAAAAAGCTTCCATTCTGCAAGTAAATTGCATGTTTCATTAAGCTTTTTTGTCAGAAGGTTTGTGGGCGATCTTTTAAAATGAGCAGAATGAGATATTTAAGAGCTGTCTGTGCAAATGCTTTCAAGAGCTACTTGTTTGTTTGTGAATTCACACAAAGCTGATGAATGCTGCTTAAGCCTCATCATTAGTTGTCACTTGCATAGTAGTTTACATCTTCCAAGTGCTTTATAAACGTAAGCTAATTATTACTTGCCAAAGTATTGATTAAATTAAATGTGTTGTGGAGGAGCTGGAATGAATATCCTTTAAATACAGTAGTCTTGCCTGTCTGTAGATGGTACTGCTGTTGAAACACATCAGCTCAGTTTATAGCAGCTATGAATACCTTTCATTTATTTTTTAAAACTTAAAATAGATTTTTCTGTTCTCCTTATCTGCCCGGGACTTGGCACYGGAGCTCCAATTGCATAATACTTTTTCAAGCAGTTACTGGAGATAGTTCAGTATTAGACTGAGAAAGCACTGGAGGGGCTCTCCCTTGCAAAGGGATCGTCCTTTCTGGCATACACACTGCTGAAAGGTTGGATTTTGCAGAGGTTATTTTTTTTTCTGTATTATTTATAACCTGACATATTTCTGTATTATTTTGCTAAAGTTACTTTGCTGTGTTGTGCTGCCTTTCAGGCTTTCCGCTC